TTTTAGAGGAATATGGGGAGGACTATACATTTTAAAATATTGTGAAAGTAAAAATGAAAGACAGAGAAAGTGAAAACCTTGCTTGTCATTCATCCCTCAGGGAGGACAGACACAGATAAAGCCGTTGTTTGTGGAAACAGTGTTCTCAAAAAGACTGTGTTTCTTTTTTGTTTGTGGGTGTTTTTTGTTTTTTGAGACAAGTCTCATTACTTAACCCAGGCTGGTGGCCTTGCACTTGGGCAGCAATCCTCCTGCTCAGCCTGTAAAGTGCAAGGATTATAGTGGGTGCACCACCACAGTCAGCAAGGGACTGACTTTTTTGAGTAAGCACTCATTGGGAGATTTAATTCTCTAAAATCACGGATTGCCAGGAACTTTGCTGTTTAAATCATGCCAGTAGGAATGAAACCTGTAAGTCTTGATGGACAGCTCTTTAAGTCACTTTGCCTCACAGTCAACCCCAGTGCTTAGCTTCAAATAAAGAGTTTCTGGGGCCAGGGATTTAGCTCAGTGGTTCCACCGCCTGCTTGCAAACGCAAGGTCCCGAGTTCAATCCCTGGTACAAAAAAAAAAAAAAAAAAAAGAGTTTCTGGAACCAACATTCCACACCACTAATCTTTTGTTTGTTTGTTTTTTGGTACCGGATCGAACTCCGGTCCTTGTGCTTGAGCAGCAGGCGAAACCACTGAGCTAAATCCCCGGCTTTTGTTTGTTTGTTTTGAGACAGTGTCTCACTGTGTAGTTCAGACTAGCTTCCAACTTGTAGCAGTCCTCCTGCCTCAGCCTCCCAAGTGCTGGGATCACAGGGATGTGCCACCACGCCTCACTCTCATACAAATTTTAACTTTATAGTTTTCACAAGGCTCTGATTCCTGTCCAGACCTAGGTTGACCCTTTCCACACACATAATCGTGCTTTTTTGAGAGTGATTGATACACTGCCACATTTCAATTTTATCCCCCCTTTTCAGACATTCTGTACTAAGTCTTTTCCTTTATTTGTCAAGGCATCTCTCCCCCTGCCCTATTGTTCCCCTGCTGTGTGGCCTTTCTTGTTGCAATAATTCAGTAAATCAGATTGTGCCAGGCCACAGGTTATTCCCGGAAGGCTTGAGGATGGCTGGGCTAGGATCATATGTGTTTATTTAGCTTTCCAATTCAAAACTCTCTCATGCATCTCAGACCTGTATTTCCAAGGGTTTATTGAAAAGTTACATGTATCTCAAATGTACATGTCCAATACAAAATTTTTATCTTCTCCATTATAAGAGTATGCTTCTTGCTTTCTTTCTCCTGGTTAATAAACATTAGTGTCTGGTTAGAAATCTAGGCATCATCCAGGTTTTATTTTGTTCCTCTTTCCCTCAATGTCAGTGAGCCTTGCTGTACCCCCCCGCCCCCACAGTGCTAGACGCACAGTAGGCCGTGGTGGATAGTTGAATAGTGAATGAATGAAGATAGCCCAGGTGTCTCGCACAGTTTCTGATCTCCACCTTCCTGTCTTCTAACTGTTGCTTACCACCATTTCTGTGGGGTAACTCAGCCCCCTCCTGCTTTGAGCTCCTCCTCCACTGTGACTCACTCTATGAAGAAATACTGGTGTCCCTAGTGTGCTTTGTGATGCCTCATTTGAGCACTGATCACATTGTTTTGTAAGTATTTGTTTACTTATTTGTTTGGGGTTACTTATCTCTCTTGATGGCTCTGAGCTCCTGGAAGGCTTTTTCATTGCTTAGTAGGAGTTTGTAGATGTCTGTGGAGCCTTGCTTAGTAGGAGTTTGTAGATGTCTGTGGAGCAAATGCTTTATGTGGGACTGCTCCAGTAGCAGTAGCAGTAGTGGAAAATAATTCAGGAGGGCTGGGACAGGATCAAGCCCTTAGGGCAAGTCGCAGGCTGGAAGTGTCTCCAGTAGCATCTTTTAGAATTCCCCTTGAGGGTTCTCATTCCCACCCGTGCTCATCCTCATCTCTCTTGAACCACAAACCGATAAACTATTGTCCTTTTCTAATCCCATCTTCCCCTCAAAGCCCAGATAGGGTTCCATCCACTTCAGGAAGCCTGAATGGCCTTTGGCTGCTCATCACTGCACTCATTCATTTCACAGCAAGTGTATCTGTGGACCCCTTTCTAGGTGTGTAAAGAGAAGGGAGCCACTGGGGTATGATGGGCACGCCTGTAATCAGGGCAGTCAAAGGATCACCTTGAGTTGGAAGCCAGCCTGGGCTACGTAGTGAGTTCAAGGCCAACCTGAACTACATAGTGTCAGGAAAAAAACAAAAAACAAAAGAGATAGGAGCCAAAGAGGATCAGGAAGCAATGTGCAATAGCCCAGACCCTTAGGAATATTATTAACTATGTTACTTAACATATCAGTTTGAAGTTTAATTTACATATTTAAAATAATAAAATATTACTTCTATATATGATACCTAATATTGATTATTTTTCATTTTAAAAGCAGTTTAGAATATATAGGAATAAAATCACCCATAATCCTATTACCCAGAGGCAATCTATTAACATTTAAATGTATTTTCATCTAGCATTTTGAAAAATATGGTTTGTAGTGTTTTATTTTGAAACACCTTCAGTCTCTTTTCTTTTTTTTTGGTACCAGGGATTGAACTTGGGACCTTGTGCTTGCCAGGCAGGCGCCGGAACCACTGAGCTAAATCCCTGGCCCAGCACCTTCAGTCTCATAAAAAAGTTGCCTTGCAGGCGTAAGGAAAACTTCCATTTGCCTTTTGCCTAGATCCACCAGTTTTTAGCAATTTGTCACATTTCCTTGTTATTCTTTTTATCTTCTGGAGATCAGAAAGTCTGGAAACATAGCTAATATATGTGATATCATTAAAGATATCCTCCTTCTCTGGCATAATAAAATAATAGTACCTACATTTTCCAATTTGATGGCTGCCCTGTATATCTCCACATTCTTTTTCCTCAGATGTTCAAGAGTATTTATATCCATGTATCCATTACTACTTCAGTGAGTGTTTCCTGTGAACAAGAATATTCTCTTTATAAACACAGTGAAGTTATTGGGTTCAGGAAATTTAACATTCATGTAATACTTTTTATTGGTCTATGATCTATATTCCAATTTTGTCACTTGTCTCACTAATGCTCTTGAAAGCATTTTCCTCCTCTAATCTAGGATCCAATCTGAAATCACACAGTACAGTTAGCAGTCTCTAATTTCCTTTACTGTGGATCAGTTTCCCATTCTCTCTCTGGCTTTATGACATTGACACATTTGATAAGCAAGGCCAATTATTTTATTGTGTTTATCTAGGGTTTCCTTGTAATTAGATTTAGTCTTTCTGGAATATTATGTTGGTGATGCTGTGGCCTTCTCAGGGATAACATCTCAAGGTACATAATGTCCCTCTGTCCCTCAGTGGTCTTGTGAACACATCCCTGTCACTTTGGGGCAGAGGTGTTACTTCATTACATTCTGGCACAAAAACAAAAAACAGTTTCATCTTATACGTTCTCTGCCCCAGCCATGGAATCAGACACTTCCCTATGGAACCCTGGCTCTTTTTAGTGGTGCAGGATCTGGAAGGCATCCAGTCTTTTTGCTCTTCATTTAGTATTCATCTATCTCAATTTATCTCCTTGCTTATTAAGTTGGACTCATACTGCTTATGTGCATTTTATAAAATCAAGCCTTTTTCTATGTCATAACTGTTGTCTGAAAAATGTGATTTTAAATGACTGTATTGTATTCAAAAAGCATACGAATGGACCATCATTTATTTAACCATCCACCTTTGTAAAGAGTACAGACGTGAACATCCCTAACATGTACCTCTGACCACATCTCTGAACATTCTGATTGTTTCCTGTGACTAAATTCTTAGAGATTAAAATTTGCCAAGACAAGAGTGTGAGCATCACTTATGCATGACTCAAGTAGTGGATGGTTTAGGTCCTAAACATTAGGCCATTTGAACAGTAAGAGGTTAGAAAAACAATTGTTTTAGTTGGGAATGGTCCTGAGGCTTTATCTGTAGTTGGCCCCCAGGAGGAGAATGGAAGTAGGGGACAGGCAGCCTGCTCCCAGGGTGTGCAGAGAAAGGAAGGTGGAAGGGGCATTGTGTGTGTGGGAACTTGGAGGTAAACCAGGGCCTATTGCAGGATCTTCAGCGGGAAGGGAAAGGCCAGAGTTTGACTGCAGGGTCTGCTGTCCTAGTAAGCAGGGGGAGGGTATGTGGAGGCTTTTGTTTCCTCCACTGTGCAAAGGATGGTGCTTGGAGAGATGCGGGGCTCTGGGAGGAATTTGGGGCAGAGCCCGGAGTGTAGTGAGGCATGAACCCTCCAGCATTTGCAGCCTTCCCCTTCATCCCCAAGTTTGGCACTCTCTTGTCTCCCCTCCAGCTTGGCTTTGCCCAGCAGGCTTTGTCCCCAGGCAGAAGGCCCAGCAGCAGTGTTGCTTGGTTTCCTTTCATTGTACTCCAGTGCCCGTGGCCTGCTTAGCACAAAGCCCTCTTTTTCCTGGGGCCCTGTTCTGGGGTAAGGGAAGTGGTGTGTGTGGGTGGGGTGTGTGCTGACCCTTTGTCCTGTAACCCGAACCTCTCAGCAACCTATGGGTTGAAGGACAGCCTGTGGGCTGGGAGCATGGTGTTATCATGCTTGGGTTCTACAGGCCTTACCCACAGCCTACATGCCCAGTGATATTTGGGGGTTTCTGAAGAGCTCAGAAGAGGTCTCAGGACAATGGAAGAGAAGGAGAAAAGTCAGAAGCACCTGAGAGAGTCATAGGGACAGTTACTGAGTCTCTAGGTGGTCTCTCTGAGTTGACTTTAGGAAGCCCTCAGCCCTGGGAAAGCTGCACTCAGGTCCCTGAGCAATGAGGCTTTGTTGGCATTCATCCATCATACAGGGTATCCTGGGGAGTGGGGGACCTCATCATAAGGGTGAACTGGGTGTGGGGTGCCCATTGTCCAGAGGACAGTGTACAGCAGCTGATCTCTCCTTTTCCTACACTTTTCCAGACATCCTTTTATGGCCGCTTCAGGCACTTCCTGGATATCATTGACCCTCGCACACTGTTTGTCACTGAGGTAGGTCATGGCCGTCATTCTCAATGGAGGTCTCTTAGCCTCTGTACTTTGTTACTTTGGAAGGTGGGGGACACCTGAAGGGTAGGAGTGGGTGAGTAAAGAGGATATGGGAGTTGAGTGGTGAGAGGAAGGTAATGTTATCTGACTGTATCCATCCATCTGTCCACCTAGAAAGAGTTCATATACTGTGCTGTGTGCTTTCTCATAGTTTCATTTGGATCTCACAACATCTCTTCAAGATAGATAGCATTGTTGTTATTATTATTAAGACCTTAGTGAAAATACTACCAAGTACATAAATTATATGCTCATTACAAAAGTTCAAGCAGGACTGGGGGATGTAGCTCAGTGGTAGAACACTTGCCTAGCATGCATGAGACCCAGATTTAATCCCCAATGCTGAAAAAAAAGTTCAAATAGTACAGATGTGTTTAAATAGAACAAAAAGGTATCCTTTAGCTATCCTCCCTACCCACCTCCCTCCTCTTCTAGGTAATAACAATTGTTAATTAATTTACCTTTTTTGGGTACACAGTTCTATGAGTTTTGACAAATATCTTCAATCATGTATCCATCACCATGAACAAGATGTAAAACATTTCCATCATCCTAACATATTCACTTATGCTTCTTTATAATCAGTTTCTCCCATCCCTCTTCACCTGGCAGCTACTCATCTGTTTTCAGTTTCTATTGTTTTGCTGATTCCAGAATGACATATTAATGGAATTCTTTATGTTTGTCTGACTTCTTTCCCTTAATATTTGCTTCTGAGATGTATTTATATTACTGCATGTGTCAGTAGTTCATTCCTTTTTATTGCTGAGTAGTGATCTATTGAAAGGGTGTTCCAGAATCTGTTTATTCATTCGCTTGTTTATGATTACTGGGCTCTTACTTGTTTTTGACTTTATGAATAAAACAGCTGTGAACATTCTTTGTGTGGATGTTTGCTTTCATTTCTCTTGAGTGAATAACTAGAACTGGGATTGCTGGCTCATGTAGTAAGTGTGGTAAATATATATTTAACTTTATTAGAAATTGCCAAACTGGCATTCCAAATGGCTATACATTTTAAATTCTCATCGGCAGTGTATGAGAATTCCAGTTGTTCCACTTCCTCACCAACACTTGATATTGTCAAATTTTTTTTTAAAGTTGTTTTGGCCACTCTGAAGTGTGTCTTCAAGGGCTTTTAATATGTATTGACAAGTGTGTATAGGAATGTGTGCACATATAAAATAGCAAGGATTTATTAAACACACTATGAGCAAGGAAAACTGTAAGCACTTTTCAAATTGACATGTAAAAATTATACATATTTATGAGATACCATACAATGTTTTCTGTTTTGTTTCTTTGGGTTTTTTTGGTACCAGGGATCAAACTCAGGACCTTGAGCTTTTGAGGCAGGCGTGATGTCACTGAGCTAAGTCCCTGGGCCACCATGTGATGTTTTGATGCATGTATACAGTCTGTAATGTTCAAATCAGAGTAAGTTTATCTGATTTGATAGTTACCAACATTTATCTTTTTTTTTTTTCTTCTGGTACTGGGGATTGAACTCAGGACCTTGCACTTATGAGGCAGGTGTGGTATCACTGAGCTAAACCCTCGGCCTCATTTATCATTTCTTTGTGGTAAATTTTACACATATTGGTTCATAAGCTTAACTCACAACCAAAGTAAGAGGCGATGCTATTATATATTCCACTTTACAGATAAAGAAAGAGAAGTTAAGTCTCAGGTACACGGTGCTGGTCAGTGGTGGATCCAGTGTATGGGACCAGGTTTGCTTGTCTGCAGACCCTTACTCTTAGCCATTTAGTATTCCTGTTCAGGTAACCTGAGTTTAAGGGACTTACTTGCCCAAGATTACTCAGCTAACCAAAGGCCTGAGCTCTGTCCTGAGCCCTCATACCTTGAGGGAAGTCATGGAGCCTCTGAGGCAGCTTCCTGATTGGAGAGCACTTGACCACGATTTCCTGGCTGACACTGGCTTTCTATAGCGCTGGTCTTGGGCAACTCTGGGAGAGAAAAGCCATGAAGTGGGAGGTGGGGAAGGAAGCACAAGGCTTACTGGGCATCTGGGCCCACATTTCCAGTGTGCTTGGGTAGTAGCCCAGTGACATGGAGCATGGAAATTACCCCGATACGTGGTTTCCTATGGTATTTCAGCAAGGACAAAGGGCTCAGGTTTTTTACTTGCTGGCCTTATTTGTCCCTCTGAGCTACCATTTTTAAAGATTCATGCTTCTAGGCTTTATCTGGATTCTCTTAAATGTAATTGCATAAGAATTTGGAAGAGCACCAAACTCAAACTACCTGCCGGGGATTTAGCTCAGTGGTGCTGCCACCTGCTTCACAAGCGCAAGGTCCTGAGTTTGATCCTGGGTACAAACAAAACAAAACAAATAAAAACCTACCCACCAAGGCTAGGTAATGTGTCATCCTAGAAAGTTGCAGAACTTTATTTTTTAAATTTTTAATTTTTTTCCTTTCGGTATTGGGCATTGAACTCAGGACCTTGCGCTTACCAGGCAGGCACAGTACCACTGAGCCACATCCTTGGCCCCTAGAACTTTATAAACTAGGTACAGTTACAATTCCAAATTCCAGTATAAATGTACCTGCATTTATACTCCAGAACATAGAGTTGTTCACAGTGAACTTTGAGGCCCATTGAAAATGATGGAGGAAGACCTGAGAGGTGGGGAGGTGTATTATAGTTAGCTTTTATTCACTGTAACAAAACACATGAGAGAATCAACTTATAGGAAGGAAAGGTTTATTTTGGCTCATAGCATTGGAGGTTTCAGTCTATGGTTGCTTGGCCTTGTTGCCTTTTACCCTGTGGTAAGACAGCATGTCATGGTGGGAAGTATGGGGCAGGGGAAAGCTGCTTGCCTCATGGTGAATGGGAAGTGGAAAAGAGAGGCAGGGGAAGGGTCATGATTCCAATACCTCCTTCTAGGACCTGCCTCCAGTAACCTAACTTACTTCAGTCAGACCCACTCTTAAAGGTTCCACTGTGTGCCACAGGCTGGTGAGCAAGCCTTCAACACATGAGCCTTTGGGGGACATTCAAGATCCAGACATAGCAGCAGGTGTATCAGTGTTCCTCAGATTACCTAGAACAAGCAGGGACTTTGGGAGATGGATGAGCAGCTACAGGGCTGCGTGCTCCCTGTTCCAGGGGCTCACACCCCTCTTCTCCAATCCTCCTTCCTCTCTCACATCATTTCATTTTACTCTTCCCTCTCTTGATTCAGTTTACTTCTTCAACTGTTGCATTTTGAAAGACATTCTTGTGCATCACTAAAACATATTTATCCTTTTTCTTCTTTCAATAAATAAAAACAATCCAGGCTTTTTTTCCACTTTTTTTTTGGTACCAGGGATCGAACTTGGGACCTTGTGCTTGCAAGGCAGGCGGCGGAACCACTGAGCTAAATCCCCAGCCCCCCTTTTTTTCTACTCTTAATTGAAATGCCAAAGCAACTTAAATATTTACAGACTAGAAAATAACCAGAGCAACAGCAATTTCAGAATACTTTTCAAATTTCACATGCTCCTTCCCCTCATCAGAGATAGGCTTTCCAGAAAGAACTACTCCTCCCTTCCCCTCAGCATCTGAGTTGGAGATTATTTCCAGGAGCACCTGGCAGCCCTTTGGATTCTACTCTCAGAAGATCTTCTAGGGCCTAAAACCTCTAGGAGGGCCTTGAATGCAACCTCTAGGCCAGCAGAGCAGTGACCTAACCCCTACCAGCTCCAGCTCAGGCAGGCTGTTTGGCAATGCCACCTCTATCTTTCAATGGTAAATTAGAGGTGGCAAGAGGAGTCTTTGACCTCACCCTGCCTTCCTTGACCTGTGGGTTCTGGGATGGACCAGGCTCATCCACAGTGCTAGTCAGTCAATAGACGCTGGCTCATGTCTATGATAAGCTCTCTCAGGGCCAGTGGCTGGTGTCCTCAAAGAGAGCTTTGGGCAGTGGCTGCCCAGCTGGAGTTATCTGGATGGTCCTTTTTTCTGTAAACTGGGAGGATTTGGGATGGCATGATGAGGTAGCTCTGGAAGCTGGAGTTTCCCGAGTTAGAAAGATCTTGGACTGCTTGAGCCATTTGGTGACCTGGTTCTGAGGAGCAATAGCTGAGTCCATGGATAGACTCATCTTGAGAGAGTTTTGCAGCTGCTTGTCTGCAATTTATAACTGACAGAGCTTTAAAAAGATTCCAGCCCTTGTATGTGTAATGAGGCTGAAGAAATTTTATTCACCGAAATTTCTCTTGGGAAGAAGGCTGTCTTTATTCTGAGAATGCCTTGGACAAGGCATCAGAGGAGGAGGAGTTTGTCCTGCTTGACATAGGGGAAGAATTGTGCTTTTTGATCCTAAAAGGAGAGGAGAGAGAATGAAGAAGAGGAGAAAACAGTGGGAAGGCAGGCAAGAAACTAGGGTGAGCGGAAAGATCAGTGCAAGAAATGCCACAGTGATGATGTGGCTGGGACTCTTTTGAGATTGTACTTGTTTGTGAAAGTTGTTGTGAACCTGCACTGTTGTTCCCTCCACTACCATTCTCGGGAAGTTGTTGGCAAAGTCTTCCTGAACCTCTGCAAGAGTATGTTATTTGTGGGACCTTGAAGGGCTGTGAATCTCCTGTTCCGGTTGCAGTGTGTGCAGCATCAGGCCTGAGAAAGGAAACCACCAGGAGCTTACAGGAGCCCAGGCAGGGGAGAGCTCATCCTTCCACACAGCTCATGGAATGAAGTCTAGATCTCTAAGGGCAAGGCCATACCCCATGGCATCTGAGTGACTTTTAATGATGGGCTGAAGATGGAAGGAGTTTGCTATTTTGAGTTTGAAGTTACTGAAAGGTGGACAGATTATCATCTTGAGTGGCATAGAAAATTAACTGAAAATGGGCCAGGGATTTAGCTCAGTGGTTCCAGCGCCTGCCTCGAAAGCTCAAGGTTCCGAGTTCGATCCCCGGTACCAAGA